CTCGATGCTGGATCAATCATCGGTATCGTCGTTGGTGCTTTGGTACTGATTCTCATCGTGTTCCTGGTGATTTTCGCTCGAGCAACCGGTCGCTGGTGCTTCGCAGGTGAGTTGAAAAATAATGATTGGAAGGAAGAAGAAAAAAAAAGAAAAAAACAAAAAAACAAAAAAAAAAAAAGAAAAGAAAAAAGAAAATAATGTCATCGATTTATTTACTATTTTTTGTTTCTATTTATTGTAATATTAGATTAACGTTATATTACGTTTGTTATTAAAAGCAAAAAAAACGTTAATTTTATTTTGCTCCTATCCTAGATGAAACTTTCCGTCTATCTATTTTATTCGATATACGGTAATTTTCGTCCATGATAGAAAAGTGAAATTAGCTGGCTATTATTATAACAACAATAACAATATATATATATATATATATATATATATATATATATATATATATATATGTATGTATATGTATATATAAGCGAAGCGCATCGATACGAAAATTAAAGAGAAAAATAAAAGTATAGAAAGATAGATATATAGATAGATAGATAAATAAATAGATAAAAAGAAAGAAAGAGAAAAGAAGAGAAGAGAAGAGCAACGAAAAGAATTCGTATTTTTGCCAAGTTTTTAGATGATAGAGGCTAGTTCTAACGAGTTTCATTGTCCGTTGCCAAGTTTATCCGACCCTACGATGAACGTTCTCTAACGTCGAGTATATCCCACTAATTCCGTATCTTTCAACTTACAATTTTCTAATCTACGATTCCGAAAGCCTATCGGAAAATGTAAAAGTCGGCATGAGGAAAAGAAAAAACAAAAAAAAAAAAAAAAACAAATAAAAAACAAGAAAAAAAGAAGAGAGAGTGTGAGAGAGAGAGAGAGAGAGAGAAAAAAAAGTAAAAAAAAAAAAGATCAGCCAGGATATACTCGACTATTTTGATATTTGTTCTATCCGTTCTCTATTTCGATATTCGTTTTTTATTTTTTTTATTTTTTCACTCTTTAATCTTTCACGAATTTCCAAACCAACGAAGTAATGGTAATGCTCGATAGAGTGTATACACGTATTACGTAAAAGATTTGATGTTTAAAATGTATACATACATATAACTCTATACATATGTGTATATATATATATATATATATATACATATATAGGGTGTTATGTATATGTATAAAAAAAAAATGTGTAGGTATATGTAAAGATAGCGGACGCAGAGAGAGAGAGAGAGAGAGAGAGAGAGACGTGTATTTTTTTTTTTTAAATTTAACGTATCTAAAAGATATCTTTTTACTTTTACACGATCTCTCGATTGGTCGGTCGGTCGGTCACGATCCAAAATTATACAAATTAATTTTTATCAGTGCTGCCTCTCTTCCTCTATTTATTACCTATCTTACTTTTATATGTACGTATACAAAATGTCTTGTGTGTTGTGCCGCTATTGATAGGACAGCATGCAAGTCGGGCCAAGTAAAGAATACGGAGATACACCAACAATAAACGTGCGATTCCGTACTCTAGGCATGACACTGTCCAGGGGTAAGTCACCTCAGACAGCAAACAACCTTTCCCTCTCAACTAAACCCCTAATCCATCCTCAACCTTATACCATTACGATTCTTTCGACCTGCCACCCCTTCTCCTCGCCCGCCCCCCCCCACCCCTCGGCACTTTTCCATCATCCTCCATTTTTTTCTAATCAAAAGTGCTACTAAAGTCTCTTTGCTTTAAATCCTACAATAGAATCTCATTATCATTCGTTATTATATTTCTCTCGATTAAATTCATTTCTCAATTATTTATTATTTCATAGTATGCTTGCGTATGCAAGTTTACACGTTGAAAAGGAAAGGAATATAATGGAGGGAAAAAAAGGAAGAAAAAGAAAGAAAAAAGAAAAAATAAGTAAATAAGAAAAAAATAAAAAAAAAGAATAATAAAGGAATAAACGTAAAGCCAAAATTCTTCGTGTTACATTGCGAAGATCCTTTTATCGGTAATCGATAAGATCATTTCTTACTTTTCCCACCGAACAAAATGTGTAAATGTACAATTCGCTTAAGAGAGGGATGAGCTTGCTACCGACCGTCGATAATACGATCTTTTAAAGAAAACAAAAAAACAAAGAATAACATTATTACAAATGCAAATTATAACATATATTACAAACGAGACTACATATTGGCATGAATATATTGATAAATATTTGTAATAATTCCTTTCACTTTTTAGTAGATATATCATCCAGTCTGTTTTCTCCCTTATCGTTAGTCGTTTGATTTTTAAATATAAAAAGAAAAAAATGAAGGAAAAAAGAAAAAAAAACAACATTATTTTATGTATATATTACATAAATAATATAAGAAAAGATAAAAAAAATATATATACATACATAATTGCATGCACGTCATGCTTATGATTATCATTACTTGTCATTGCATGCATCAATATAATTAGATACTTATTACGTATGTTTATTAGCCTTCTCTC